CGTAGATTTTTTAAATAATTTTTTCTAAGGCCTATATAAGGCGTAGATTTTTTAAATAATTTTTTCTAAGGCTTATATAAGGCGTAGATTGTTTAAATATTTTTTCTAAGTCCTATATAAGGTGCGGATTTTTTAAATAATTTTTTCTAAGGCCTATATAAGGCGCGGATTTTTTAAATAATTTTTTCTAAGGCCTATATAAGGCGTAGATTTTTTAAATAATTTTTCCGAGTCCTATATAAGGCGCAGATTTTTTTAAAATTCTTTTTTCCGAGGCCTATATGAGGCGTAGATTTTTTAAATAATTTTTTCCGAGTCCTATATAAGGCGTAGATTTTTTAAATAATTTTTTTCATGGTCTATATAAGGCGTAGATTTTTTAAATAATTTTTTCCATGGTCTATATAAAGCGCAGATTTTTTAAATAATTTTTTCCATGGTCTATACAAAGAGCAGATTTTTTAAATAATTTTTTCCATGGCCTGTATAAGGCGTAGATTTTTTAAATAATTTTTTTCATGGTCTATATAAGGCGTAGATTTTTTAAATAATTTTTTCTAAGGCCTATATAAGGCGTAGATTTCTTAAATAATTTTTTCTAAGGCCTATATAAGGCGTAGATTTTTTAAATAATTTTTTCTAAGGCCTATATAAGGCGTAGATTTTTTAAATAATTTTTTGCTAAGGCCTATTTAAGGCGTAGATTTTTTAAATAATTTTTTCTAAGGCCTATATATGGCGTAGATTTTTTAAATAATTTTTTCTAAGGCCTATATAAGGCGTAGATTTTTTAAATAATTTTTTCTAAGGCCTATATAAGGCGTAGATTTTTTAAATAATTTTTTCTAAGGCCTATATAAGGCGTAGATTTTTTAAATAATTTTTTCTAAGGCCTATATAAGGCGTGGATTTTTTAAATAATTTTTTCTAAGGCCTACATAAGGCGTGGATTTTTTAAATAATTTTTTCTAAGGCCTACATAAGGCGTGGATTTTTTAAATAATTTTTTATAAGGCCTATATAAGGCGTAGATTTTTTAAATAATTTTTATAAGGCCTATATAAGGCGTAGATTTTTTAAATAATTTTTTATAAGGCCTATATAAGGCGTAGATTTTTTAAATATTTTTTTCTAAGGCCTATATATGGCGTAGATTTTTTAAATAATTTTTTCTAAGGCCTATATAAGCCGTAGATTTTTTAAATAATTTTTTCTAAGGCCTATATAAGGCGTAGATATTTTAAATAATTTTTTCTAAGGCCTATATAAGGCGTATATTTTTTAAATAGTTTTTTCTAAGGCCTATATACGTCTGCGGGGGTCGTCAACATTAGGGGGTTTGGTTTTCTTTTTCTTTACATTTTCATAGTAGGTTGGGTTTTCCGATTGTGGGCAACTAACCCGACGACTCAACCCATTTTTTTATAGTTCATTTTATCCCAAATCCTATTAATTTCCTCAGCGAAATTAACACATTTACATATCCTCATAGCTAACACATAACACATACATTTCCTGTCACGATAATGACGATATGGAATATTGTCATTATAAATATATAGCCAGTCAGTATCTGATTGACCCATATGTTAATTTCAAATAACATGATTTTGCTTTCAATTGATATATCCACAAACACACACACACACACACATACACTCACTCACAAATACCCGTGTGTATCTCTTTATCATTGTCATGATTTTGTCATGCCCATATCTTTACATAGAATTAATTACAAATTCAAAGGAAATTGTTTGAACGGACGACCTTTTGGCATGAATATGTCACACAGCGACAACGATATTTTGGGCAGCAACAATCTTTAGGATAATCAAATTATCCTAACCGGGAGGCTTCGTCTATATTGCATGGCTGAATAATGATGGTAATGATAATTGTAATTATAAGATATACATATATGTGGGTAACACTACTACTAATAAAGTTACTATCATTGTGAGGCTTGTGAGAAAATGTGCGGAGTAGATAAATTAAGAGGGAAGATGAGGGGAGATTTAAGGCATAATTAAGGCATAATATTCAAGGCCTATTTTTAGGGGTAGATTTTTCAAAAAAATTTTTTCAAGGCATATCTTCAGGCGTGGATTTTCAAAATTATTTCTCCAAGGCATATATTCAGGTGTGGATTTTTAAAATTATTTTTCAAGGCATATTTTTAGGGGTAGATTTTTAGAATTATTTTTTCAATGCATATCTTTAGGCGTGGATTTTCAAAATTATTTTTTCAAGGCATATATTCAGGTGTGGATTGTTAGAATTAGTTTTTCAAGGCATATCTTTAGGCGTGGATTTTCAAAATTATTTTTGTCAAGGCATATATTCAGGTGTGGATTGTTGGAATTATTTTTTCAAGGCATATCTTTAGGCGTGGATTTTCAAAATTATTTTTTCAAGGCATATATTCAGGTGTAGATTGTTGGAATTATTTTTTCAAGGCATATTTTTAGGAGTAAATTTTTAGAATTATTTTTTCAAGGCATATTTTTAGGGGTAGATTTTTAGAATTATTTTTTCAAGGCATATATTCAGGTATGGATTGTTAGAATTATTTTTTCAAGGCATATCTTTAGGCGTGGTTAAAAGTCCACGCCTAAAGATATGCCTTGGAAAAATAATTTTAAAATGCGTGGATTGTTTCAATTTGAATTTTTTAAAAATAGTTTTCAGTGTATACCTAGAGGTATAAAATAAAATTTTAAATTAAATTAAAATTTATTTTCAAGGCCTACTTTTAGGCGTGGGCTTTTTAAAATAAATTTTCAAGACCTACTTTTAGGCGTGGACTTTTTAAAATTATTTTTCAAGGCCTAATTTTAGGCGTGGACTTTTTAAAATTAATTTTCAAGCCCTACTTTTAGGCGTGGACTTTTTAAAATTAATTTTCAAGGCCTACTTTTTGGCGTGGACTTTTTAAAATTAATGTTCATGCCCTACTTTCAGGCGTGGACTTTTTAATATTAATTTTCATGGCCTACTTTTAGGCGTGGACTTTTTAAAATTAATTTCGGGCCAAACAATACGCATGCATGTTTGGATAAAGATCGGTAAATATTTAGCGGGTCAAATGGACCCCGACTTTTGTGTGAAAAATTACAAAAATTATATTCTATGGCATATATATTTACTCCTGAAGGACATAGACCCTAGAAGTTGATAGTATATTCAAGAGGAGTGGTTGACCTTAAAATAGATACCACTTAAATATTTATAGGTGCTTACGTAATCAAATATTATTTAGTAACCAATTAACATTAGAGGGCAGAAATAAAGCGCTGATCGCTTTTAAAATTTCCATGAGGTTCCGGTTATGGTCAAGAACAACGCCTATAATTTTTGGTGATGATCACATACAAAAATTGGGATGAAGTGGACCGAAACTTATTTTTATTGTGTTTTTTCAAGTCGATATATAGGCTACAATTATAGGCATAATATTACGCTGGAGAATAAATCTGGCCAATTTTTTTAATTTGAAGGGCTTTTGTAATGATCTGTCACTATTTAGCGGGAAAATTGGATATTATAAAATTAAACATAATTTGAAATAGATGTCATGGCAAGAAGTAGGAGCTATTGACCTCTAATCGGTTAAGAGGGTGCAAATATCGCGAAATATTGCCCATTCTTGGAATAAAGCTCTGCAGAAAGTTAGAGTTCCATGGTCGGCCCCGTCCGACTATACTGCTCCGTTCACTGGTTAAAATTATTTGTTCAAGGCATATATTTAGGGGTGGATTTTCAAAGTTATTTCAAGGCATATCTTTAGGCGTTGACTTTTAACTACGCCTAAAGATATGCCTTGAAAAAATAATTTTAAAGAAATTTCAACAGACGTGGCTTGTTTAATTTTTAAAATTAATTTTGAAGGGCTATTTTAAATTTTTGTCCAATGCCTACTTTTAGGCGTGGCATTTTTTAAATTAATTTTAAGGCGTACTTTTAGGCACGGACTTTTTTAAATTAATTTCCAAGGGCTACTATTAGGCTTGGATTTTTTTTATAATTAATTTCCAAGGCCCACTTTTAGGCGAGGATTTTTTTATAATTAATTTTGAAGGCCTAATTTAAGGCGTTGATTTTTAAAAGTTATTTTAAAGGCATAATTTCTTAAAATTAATTTTTTGAAGGCCTACTTTTAGGCATTAATTTTTCAAGGCCTACTTTTAGGAGTTAATTTTTCAAGGTCTACTTTTAGGCGTAAATTTTTGAAATCTCTTTTTCAATGCATTCTTTTAGATCCAAATTTTTGAATTTAATTTTTCAAGGCCTACTTTTAGGCCTTACTTTTCATGGCCCACTTTTAGGCGCACATTTTTAAAATTAATTTTTCAAGGCCTACTTATAGACGGAAATTTTAAAATTAAATTTTTCAATGCCTTCTTTTAGGCGAGAAATTTTCAAAATTAATTTTGCAAGTGCATTCATTTAATTCTATAATCTATATTTTTAAAACGACCTTTGCCCTTGTTAGAATTAAACACATATAAACGATTTCCTATTTGAAAACCACAAAATAATCCACAAGTTCATAATATATTTAAATTGCTCTTTAACCTTTCCTCTCTCGATACTCCTTCCCTTAGCCACACATTATCATCATCATGGCAACCATTATCATATCTTTTAGCATTCCAATTCCAATTTGATTTGAAAATTTATTAATTACCATTTTATGACATTAGTTAATTATTATGAAATTTGACTATTTGTCTATTTCCAATTACTTTCATAGGCCATTCAAATGATTATGGGTTTTGTGCTTTGTTTGTAAATAAATCGTTTCAGAAACATAAATGACAAACTATGTCGGACGATAACTGCATGACCAATAATATGACAAATTAAATAGTAATTATTTTGAAAATGTTTGGAATTATTGAATATGTTGTGATGCGGGAGTGGAAATCTGAGGAAAAATTCTAGACACTAGGATGGTTCGAAAAAAGATATATAAATTTATTGACTCAAATACTTACGGTCACTTGTCCATTGGGGGTCTCTGGGGGTTCCCATGTTATGACCATTGTCGATGACGATAATGGTCGGACTTGTACATTACGTGGGGCACTTTCCATTTCTGTAAAATATGATAGAAAAGAAAAACACGAATTAGAATGAGTAATAACAAATATATTTGAAATAATTTTTTATAAGGCGTGGATTTTTTAAATATTTTTTTCTAGGCCTATATAAGGCATGGATTTTTTAAATATTTTTTTTCAAGGTCTATATAAGGCGTGGATTTTTAAATAATTTTTTTCAAGGCCTATATAAGGCGTGGATTTTTTAAATATTTTTTTTCAACGCCTATATAAGGCGTGGATTTTTTAAATAATTTTTTCTAAGGCCTATATAATGCGTGGATTTTTTAAATAATTTTTTCCAAGGCCTATATAAGGCGTGGATTTTTAAATAATTTTTTTCAAGGCCTATATAAGGCGTGGATTTTTTTAATAATTTTTTTTCAAGGCCTATATAAGGTGTGGATTTTTTAAATATTTTTTCTCAAGGCCTATATAAGGCGTGGATTTTTTAAATATTTTTTTCAAGGCCTATATAAGGCATGGATTTTTTAAATATTTTTTTTTCAAGGCCTATATAGGGCGTGGATTTTTTAAAAAATTTTTTCTAAGGCCTATATAAGGCGTGGATTTTTCAAATAATTTTTTTCCAAGGCCTATCCTTAGGCGTGGATTTTTTAAATATTTTTTTTCAAGACCTGTATAAGGCGTGGATTTTTTAAATAATTTTTTTCCAAGGCCTATCCTTAGGCGTGGATTTTTTAAATAATTTTTTTCAAGTACCATAAGAGACTTTACATTTTTCTCAAGCATACAGAATTACTTCTGAAACAATCCCGCCCCTTCCTCTTTTCTAAAAATGTTTTCAAAACTTTTGATTACTTAAAAGTGAATTGCCATAATTCGATTGGTTTTTTTTTTGTCAGCCTCGGATGTTGTCCTGGCCCAAGTTGTAGCTAATCAAATTTCACGTTCGAATGGAAAAATAAACTTCCCGATACCAAAAAAACGCATCTTCTTCATTATAATCGATAATTACTAAAGTTTTTGATTTCCTACTTGATATGTAGGATATTTTTTTTTTCAAAATTTCGCTACGTGGAGGGTTGGCTTCTGGAAATTTTTTTTCTTTTTTTGTACGTTCGCAAACAAGAAAAAGTGTTTGCAATTTAAAAAGTTTTTAATAATTGTTTTTTATTAAACATTTCATGTAAGTTACAACAGCGAGCGGGTAATCTGCCAGGAACAGAAAACGTCAACCACGTAGCAATTTTTTTTTTCTTTTTTTGTTTTTTTGCATAACAAAAGGAGGGTGATTAACGGAAGAGAATGAGATGGCAAGGGGGAGGGCGAAAAGTTAATAAACGATTATCCGCATAAAACTGACTGACAAAACACGCTTCTAACTCACAATGGGTGGTGCTATTGGGTCTCCGATGTATGTATATGTGTGTGAGTGGTGTTAAGCTTCAAGCTCAATGAGAATAAAATCTCAGAACTCAACAGAAAAAAACTGCACAGAATCAAGGCTCATTTTAAAACTTGCTCTTGATGCCGTTCGAAATGAAAAAAAAAATCCATACGAAGAAACGATGACGACGACGTCAACAGCATCAACTTCAATTAATTGCTAATTAAAATGAAGCAAAGGAATATTGGAAAAGAAGCTCCTAGCTCTAGCACGAAGGAAATTTATTTACCTTCAATAATAAATGTAAGCAATACCAGAAGCAGCAGCAACAACGACAACAGAACCACCAAAGGAAAATCAACATCTACCACAATTTCCTTTTAGATCCAAAAAGGAAATCAGTGGTTAAGAAAGAGTCGGGTCAGGGGAAAAAACCACAAAGCATGTGAATCGCCACCAGCCGCATTCACATCGACATCATCAAACAGATCGAACGAAGATGAAGATGATGGACAAGAAACATGAAAATATTGCCACAATCTGACACCGACCAGGGTATACACTTCGATGCCTTCTTGGTCAATTCACACACACACACAACAATGACATATTACAATTGACTTTGTGGTCATAATGGGGAGAAGGTATTATAAATTATTTTTCACATATATATATGTATATGTAAGGGTAAATCAAGTACATGCAGTCGATATCGAGGCTTTCAACGAAAATATGAATTTAAAATATCAAAAATTTAAAAGAGAAGGAACAATTTTTTTTTTCAAATAATTTTTTCTAAAGCCTACATAAGTCGTGGATTTTTTAAATAATTTTTTCCAACACCTATATAAGGCGTGGATTTTTTAAATAATTTTTTCTAAGGCCTATATAAGGCGTGGATTTTTTAAATAATTTTTTCTAAGGCCTAGATAAGGTGGGGATTTTTTAAATAACTTTTTCCAACACCTATATAAGGCGTGGATTTTTTAAATAATTTTTTCCAACACCTATATAAGGCGTGGATTTTTTAAATATTTTTTTTCAAGGCCTATATAAGGCGTGGATTTTTTAAATAATTTTTTCTAAGGCATATATAAGGCGTGGATTTTTTAAATAATTTTTTCTAAGGCATATATAAGGCGTGGATTTTTTAAATATTTTTTTTCAAGGCCTTTATAAGGAGTGGATTTTTTAAATAATTTTTTCTAAGGCCTATATAAGGCGAGGATTTTTTAAATAATTTTTTCTAAGGCATATATATGGCGTGGATTTTTTAAATAATTTTTTCTAAGGCATATATATGGCCTGGATTTTTTAAATAATTTTTTCTAAGGCATATATATGGCGTGGATTTTTTAAATAATTTTTTCTAGACGTGGATTTTTTTAATAATTTGTTCTAAGGCCTATATAAGGCGTGGATTTTTTAAATAATTTTTTCTACGGCCTATATAAGGCATGGATTTTTTAAATAATTTTTTCTAAGGCCCATATAAGGCGTGGATTTTGTAAATAATTTTTTTCAAGGCCTATATAAGGCGTGGATTTTTAAAATAATTTTTTCTAAGGCCTATATAAGGCGTGGATTTTTTAAATAATTTTTTCTAAGGCCTATATAAGGCGTGGATTTTTTAAATAATTTTTTCTAAGGCCTATATAAGGCGTGGATTTTTTAAATAATTTTTTCTAAGGCCTATATAAGGCGTGGATTTTTTTTAATAATTTTTTCTAAGGCCTATATAAGGCGTGGATTTTTAAAATAATTTTTTCTAAGGCCTATATAAGGCGTGGATTTTTTAAATAATTTTTTCTAAGGCATGTATATGGCGTGGATTTTTTAAATAATTTTTTCTAAGGCCTATATAAGGCGTGGATTTTTTAAATAATTTTTTCTAAGGCCTATATAAGGCGTGGATTTTTTAAATAATTTTTTCTAAGGCCTATATAAGGCGTGGATTTTTTAAATAATTTTTTCTAAGGCCTATATAAGGCGTGGATTTTTTAAATAATTTTTTCTAAGGCCTATATAAGGCGTGGATTTTTAAAATAATTTTTTCTAAGGCCTATATAAGGCGTGGATTTTTTAAATTTTTTCTAGGGTCAGTATGAAAAATTTTTCATTAATAGTACAATATTTTTCTTGACAATAATTTCCAATTATCGACATTGATGTTGTTGTTGGAAATTTCGAAAATTTCCACTTGCCGATATTTACCATCTACTTGAAATTATAAGTTCGAGTCTTGAGTACAATCTAAAGTAAACCATTGTTCTTATTTTATGGTTTCCGAATATTATCTGCTTCTAACACGATTCGTATGTGTGTGTGTGAATTTGTATTTTGGCGTGACAACCACCGACATACATACATATAAAACCAATCAGGCAGAAAATTCCCATTCATATCAGTGTTAGAAAGTGTATAAAATAAATTGACTTAAAGTTTTAATGAAGTCAAAAATACAAAAATTGTTATCCGGTAGATATTTACAAGAGATCCTCAACGAGGGGTGAAGTCAGAAGTTGGGGGAATTATTAAAGGGTCAAGGAAGTGTTTTTTGGGAATTAATTTGTTTAAAACAATATTAAACTAGATTTTGGGACCCTTTCCGTGGTGGCCTTTAGCAATTTTGAAAATTTCCACTTTCCCCAAAATTATTGGAAAATTCCTCTCCAAAATTTCCCTGTAAACTTTAATATGTACATACATACATGTTTGTTTGTTTAGCTCTTGGAAATTAGTAGAAGGAAAAAAAAACAAAAACATATTTACCATTACTTACTGCAACACACATCCGTACACACTTCGATACACACACACTCTAACAAATACTCAAGCTCACTCAATTACCAACACTTTTACCACCATTGAACAAGTGCACATGTATGCGCGTGTGTGTGTATGGCAATTCAATGGTTTTAACCAAGGACTTTAAAAGTTATCTCACTCTCAGGCTCCTCTCCTCTCCATATACACTATGTTATATGATCATGTGTGTGTCTGTGTATGTATAGGTGTTAGTATATGAACGACTTTGTTTGTCTAGCTTTCTCTGTGTATCGTCTGTATAACCGCATCCAATTGATTTGATTTCCTGTTCTAAACAAGCATTTAGTATTGATATCTTTGAATGTATGTATGTGTGTGTGTGTAAGTGTGTGCTGTGGATGTATGTAGTTGGATTGCAATTTCGAGTTTTAGTTTAGTGCATTCACAATTTACACTAACATTGTGTGGAGGTTCCAGATGTACATGAGCGGGGTACATCTGCACAAATGTACAATTAATGTTAGTCAATTAAATTTATGACACTTTAAAAACTTCAAATAGGAACTTAGGTATGGTATTTAGAAAAACAAAAATCTCTAGCAGTATTTGGAATAAAAAAAAAAATATTTAAAGAATCCCCTCCTATATAAGGAGAAGCCCTATATAGGCCTTAGAAAAAATTCTTTAAAAAAACCACGCCTTATATAGGCCTTAGAAAAAATTCTTTAAAAAAACCACGCCTTATATAGGCCTTAGAAAAAATTCTTTAAAAAAACCACGCCTTATATAGGCCTTAGAAAAAATTCTTTAAAAAAACCAAGCCTTATATAGGCCTTAGAAAAAATTCTTTAAAAAAACCACGCCTTATATAGGCCT